ACTTATTTCACTGAGCATGATCTCTTCTGTCCCCATCCATGTAGCTGCAAATGGCATTAGTTTATCTTTTTTGATTGCTGAGTAGTATTATATTGTGTATGTGTGCGTGTGTGTACATATATATACAAAAAATACATTGTAATTACATTACAAAACATAACACAACAAAACAAAAACCAACAGATAATTATAAAGCAGAGATATCCTACAGGGGAGAGGGGCCAAGAGGAATGTGAGGGACTATGGTGATGACAGGCAGATGAAGTAGGGGAGGGGGGAAGCAAACAGTGTATTAAAATGCATAACAATATGAATAGATACATAAGTTAATAAAAAAATAAGAAAACAATTTCCTAGTGTTCAGAAAAATTCAAGACACAATCTTCACCTTTTCTTTGCTGTTTTCCAGGAACCCAGTTCCAACCCAGAAGAAACACTACTAGCTGCTGTGAATTGCCCATTTATAAGAAGAGGATCACATTTCTGTCATCTCATTTTCTTTTTTTTTTTAAGATTTATTTATTTATGCACACAAGAACTGGGGTACAGACCACAGGTATAGGAGGTGGGTGGGAGGATTCACCAGAGACAGAGGGGTGAGCAGAACAGGCAAAACCACAGCAATACACTGCTGAAGAGAGCAGCAGGAAGATCAGGAGAGGTCTGCCACACCATGTGGGTCAGCTCTCTAGTTGGACATTGAACTCATTGAACTGGTGCTGCAGTGACTGTGGATAGTTTCCATAGTGCTCCACTGTGCCACCAGGGAGGGCCACCACATTTTCTATACTCAGACCCACATATTTCTGTGACTTACTAAGAATACATTTACAAATAAATTTTAGAGATCAGTCAACATCTGTCTCAGTAAATTGAATATTTTTCTTTTTATGAATGTGTCAAAATTTATTTACTCTAGTGACTGTAAACTTGCTTGCCAACCCCGTGATTATAAACTATGATGCAGTAGCTACCCTTGTTTTCAATTATGAGTATATTTTTTATAGTATTGGCATGCTTTTCTAACATAGCCTTCTAGACCTTATACCAATGCAGTCTGACCAGCAATATGTGAGACCACCTCTCTCCTCATACTCTCAACAAGCAGAATGTATTTTCAATGATCTGGCCTATGTCATTCTCATTTGGGTATCTGAAGTTCTCTTCCTAAATTTAACTAATGTTTCACACGTAAGTGTTATTTTGCTTTTTCTCCCTTTGTTTGTGAGCTACGCGTGTGTGTGTGTGTGTGTGTGTATAATTTTCATTTTTCTAATAGCTTATTTTAGTGATTAATTCATTAAGATGTTGAAGATGTTGGGAAAACATCTTCCAAGAGGACAGGCAGTTCAGAGAGGACCCATGGTGAGAGGGCTGGTGTGGGTCTACACCTGTGTCTCTCCTACCTGCACCCCTACTGTGTGGATAGCACTTCTCAGAGTCGAGCCAGTGCTGATGCCACCTTTATGGGTTCACCACAGCAGAGACTCCATGGCCTAATCGAATTCAAGATGAGTTTTGAGTCAAAGGACCTGCATTTATGTCCCTACTTGGCTGAGGACTGACCAGATGCCTTAAATAAATTGTCTCAGCTCTTTGTGCCTTCTTTATCAAGTGGACACAGTGACAGAACTTGTATCCTATAGTGGTTGAACATATATGTCCCCTTTACTTTGCCCTCTATCATATTTGGATAGCCTAAATAAACCGTGGCATTGGACTTGACAGAAAGAATGATGGAAGCATGAAACCATTCAAGTCTATGGAACCTCAGTGCCTGTCTTCAGGGTCTGGCTATTGTCTCATTTCACAAAAAAAAAAAAAAAAGTATGTTCACAAACCCACTGATACTGCTTCTTAAGGAGTTTCTGTTTTACAGAGGATGATATCAAACAAGTCTATTCACAAATGTAATTACTTCTCTGGGCAATTTTACAGCATTTCAATAAAATGTTCCATGTCGGACATTCTTGCTTATCTGAAAGCCTTGCTCCAGGCTGGCTACTGAAGACTTAGCTCTCAGATCACTGATTATATGCTCACAGGCAGAAAGCAGATTGCTATGTATCCCCCTCCTTCTGCAGGACTCCCTGAGTATGTTGCAGAACTGTCTGGGGTCTTTCCAATCCCCTTCACACGCTGCTCTGTACAAATAAACAGCCACCAGCCTGCAGTTATTTTAGACTCTAGTCATGGTCAGCTTCTATTTGTCTGACACTTTTCATCTTTGATAAGTATCATAGAGCCAAGCATTTTCATTTCAATTTAAATTACTTTATCACCAGGATTTTTGTCCCCTTAATTATAAAAATGGCAATAAGTATGTTTTCATCTGTCAACTGTGTGACTTCATTCTCATCCTTCCAAAAGTGCTCCTTTGGAAGTCATCAGAGTTTCTGAAGATGGATAAAATACAACACATTGCCACCCAAAGACACAAAGCAGTGGTTTGTTTAATTAGGTACCCAACCTCCCAGACCATCAATAGTAAAAGCATCTGTAGTGTACAAGTCTAGAAATGTATGTTTCCATTGATCAGTTATAATAAACTTTGAAATGTGAATTTTTCCAAATTTTACTATTTTAATCTTGAAAATAGCTCCAGTAAACCTACCCCTCAGGTTCTTGTACAAAGTGTATAAGAGGATCAGGAAATATCCATGATTATTCCTCAAGCATGTAGAATTAAATGATCAATAGTGATTGAGCCTGCATCTGAGACTATAAAATTGTCAATGTATGTGCTAGGATTACTAACAAATATCACCCTTTCCATCCTCCTTCCTCTCCTGCTAAAGATCCAGTTAGAACCTTCTATTCCAGTAATGCAGGGAAATACTCTCTTCCCATCTTCACCTAAGATAATTAATTTCAACTTCAGTGTTATGACACTAACTTTATAAACACAAAGCCAGACCACCTACATACAGTCACTACTCACATAAAATAAATAAAAAATGTTCTGATTTAGGTTACTAGCCATAAAGTCTAAAAAAGGCTGAAGACAGAATCGATGAAATCTTTGGTGATTCTTCTAAACTTCTACCATTTTCAGAATGCGTGGTGTTCATCCCACCCACACCTGTGTCCTGGCTGACCTTCCTTCTTCCTCCACATGATAGAGTTCTACCCATACCTCCCTCCAAATGCTTTGCCAAATCCTTCTTTCCAGAAGTACTAGGTGCTTGCCTCTCTGTGCCCTGCCACAATGACTATATTATAAATTTTCTTCTGATGTTTGTCTTTCCCATTGCAGGGTGAGCAGAGACTGTATTACTAATAGTAAAATCATAGAATATAGAATAGTATATAATGCACTTGTAATAGCCATTATTAACAATATCAGTGTATAACGATTTATAATATAATTTAAAACAAATGTGATATAGTCAAGAATAAATTCATAGTCTGTTTAAAAATGTAAATTTAAAATTAAGCTATATATATGATGGTGGATGAAAATTAGACTTTTGGTGGCAATCATAATGTAATATATGTAGATGTTGAAGTATAATGTTGGATACTTGAAGGCTATACAATGTTTTAAACCAGGTTACTGCAGGAAATTTTTTAAGTTAAAATAAAAAATGTGATATAAAGCCATTTTCTATTAAATGTCTAAAATACTCATGGCCCTTAAGAGCTTAAGAAACCACAGGAGTCTGCATAACTGACTTTGGCTCCCGGCCTGATGTGAGTGCCAATTGGAAACACAATCCTAGAATGGCAGCTGGAGGCCTGAGCTCACACCCAGCAGCACTGTTAACTCCTCACAGATACAGCCCTCCCCTTCCCTGGGGTTCCAGACACCTGTCGTCAACCAAAGTTCAAAAATACGGCTTATAATAGGATATTTTATAAAAGAAAGACCACAGTTAAACAACTTTCTGTCTGTTCTACTTTATTACTAACTGTTGTTACAAACCTCTTACTGTGCCTAACTTACAAATTAAATTTTATCATAAGTATGTATGAAAAAAAAAAACAGTACATATAGTACATATAGTGCCTAGTACTGTCAAATTTCAGGCATCCACCTAGAATGTATCCCCTTAGGGGGAATACTGCATATAAATTAATTTTACTTCATTGCAAAAGTCCAAGGTTTTGGTTAATAACCCTACAAAAAGATCTCTTTAAGATTAAAACAGCAGTTATTGAACTCATTCAGAAAAGGCTGAGACACAGGCTCTGTGTTTAGCCACAGACCAAGGAATAAAGGTCTCTGGAGGTAAACCATTGCCATCCCTCACAGCAACCATGGGGGAAGGGGTGATCAGAAATAACGGCTCACATAATCCATGCTGCTGTTAACTAACTTTTAAATTTTAAGTTAGCACTATTTAAAGCTTAGAGGTTTATCATTGCTAGAATTTAGCATTCCCTCCTTGACTGTAGCATCTGATTATTTTCATGTCCCTGTTAAATTTTCTAAAGGCTTACTCTGATAAGTCACCTTGAGGTAAGAAAAAAATGCCCCCCCCCAAAAAAAAAATCACACAGATTTTTCACTACCAATTAACAGTAAGTTTTGTAAATAGGTTTTAAAGTACACACAATATAAGAGAAAACAAGTAGAACCAAACAATATTCTCCTGGAGAAACTGTCCTTGTCATCCATACTATAAGTCCATGGGGTGAAGCAAATAAAACCAAGTGGCCACTTACCAGATCCCAACTATATATAGACCAGGCCTCACCTACCTGAACTACCATTGCACCGAGCAAAGTCAATTAGCAACTGTTCTCCACATTATGCTCCTTTGTACTCACTGCATTAGTTACCCTAAACAATATTTTGTGTTCCCAAAATTTCCTCTAATACAATGACTCAGCAAATCCAAATTTAACAAAAATAACGGTGAAAAACCCAGATCAAAATGAGTTATAGTTAACATAAGAAAATTGTATGTTTTCCCATCTCCATGATAATTACATGGAGCGATTTTCCCAACCTAGTGCTTGTATGGTATACAAGATGCTCATTCATTTAAACTTACCTTTTGGATGACCTTATTGATTTCTGGGGTGTTTGGTGTGTACAGGATTTTTCCATGTAATACAGGTTTTAGGAAGGACCACACTAAAGCACCATTTGGAAACTGTAGAATTTCCTGATAAAGCTTCATGCAAAATGGTGCTGTTGCAATTAAAAAACAAACACAAACAAAACAAAAAAAAAAAAAAGTGTTACTCATGATACAGGATGCCCAGTCTAGTAGGGATATTCATTTATATATCCTCACTTTCCATAAGTAATTTATACAAAATTTTCATGACATAATTCTGAATTTAGACAGTACATTCAGACAAATTTTCCTTCTGTCTTTACCTGTTCTGTTTTATAAGAGACTTCAAGGTACAGTGTTTGCATCAATAACTTAGAACAACAAAAACAAAATATGACCTTCACATTTTCAAATTAAGTTATCAATTAGAGCAGTGAATCATGGCAAAGTCACCTGAAGAAAACAGTAATAAGAAATATTGTAGAAAATTTTTAACAATCAGGCCAGAATATTAAGGCCAGAATTAGTTTTTTCATATGAAGTAAGCTTTATCAATTGCATTTGTGTTTATTTTGCTTCCATTTATATACAACTATTGAATTTACAACATTTGATAATATCAAATGGCCTTGCTTTAATTCAAATATGTAAGTCCTAGTAGCTTTCAGCATTTCTGTGGTGTCAGTAAGTTTCAAATGAAGGTTTACTTGACTAAATTGGTGAAAACAATAGGAACTTGATGAAGGTAGAGTCTTCATCATCATGAAGACTAGTGATGAAAACTTCAACATATAACTGGTTCTTTTCCTGCTGATGGAAACATTTAAAATGTAAATATTATCTTAGCCTTTCTATCATGATTCATAAAATATCCAAGGTATGAGTTTCTATTGCAATTATATCCATCACTAATTTAATCTTCCTGATTCTCCAGTTGAAAACAAAACAATATTTTATTCAACAAGTACCATAAAATTGATAGAAACAATCCCTTGAAATATAACAGTCTATCTATGCAGTATTTTTTTTGTCTGAAAATTTAAAATTTTCATATATAATTTATTCAACAACAACTTGACTCATGCCACAAAATTGTTCTTCCCTTGGTCAAAGTCCTGAAAGAGAAAAGTCACTGGCAGTGCATATTCTTCAAGCAGGAGCTGGGTGGAAACTACTGAGTCTGATAATTCAACAGTGTTTCTCTTGTGTCTTTTTCTTTTGTTATATATAATTTTTTTATCATTCTTCATTTCATAATTTTTTTTCATCTTAGTTGTAATTCCCATGGACTTCCCACCATCAATACATCTGTGTGCCATCACCATACTCCTGTGTATTCTTCCCACCCCAGTTTTGATCCCATTCCCCTTTTCACCCCCATAAAATGTCTCTGGTTTATAACTGTTCATTGTTTTCATTTTTATTTTTACTTTATTACAATTTTTTTCCTTATCCCTTATGCTTCTGCTATGAGTGAAACCATCTGGTATTTTTCTTTTTCTTTCTGGCTTATTTCACTAAGCATGATCCCTTCCAGCTCCATCCATGATGCTGCACAAGGCATGAGTTTATCTTTTTTTTTTTTGGCTGGGTAATATTCCATTGTGCATATATACTATATCTTCTTGATGCAGTCATCTATTTTTGAGCATTTGTGTTGATTCCATATATTCCCTATTGTAAATAGAGCAGATAAACATGGAGGTGTAGGTGTCCTTTTCAATCAGTATTTTTGTGTCTTTTGGGCAGATACCTAGGAGTGGGATTTCTAGGTCATATGGAAGCTCCATTTTTAGCAGTTTGAGGAACCTCCAAACAGCTTTCCATAGCAGTTGCACCAGTTTGCATTCCCACCAGAAGTTTAGGAGAGTTCCTTTTCTCCACATCCTTACCAACATTTGTTGCTAGTTGTTTTAAGTTGTGCCATTCTCACTAGGGTGAGGTGGTACCTCATTGTGGTTTTAATTTGCATCTCCTCTATTACAAGTGATGTTGAACATTTCCCAAATGCTTGTTGGCCATCTGCATTTCCTCTTTGGAGAAGTGTCCTATTAGCTCTTCTAATATTTTGTTGAGGTTGTTCACTTTATTTTTGTTGAGTTTTATCAGTTCCTTGTATATCTTTGTGATATACAAATCAGTTGTCATTAGTATTGTGCACAAATATTTTCCCCCAATCAGTGGAGTGTATCTTTGTTTGTGTAGTGTCTCTTGCTGCACAGAAGCTCTTTAACATGATGTACTCCAGTTTAAAATACATTAATATATGGGTTTCTGACAGAATAATGAATATGTACAGAAGAATTTTTTTATATTGTTTCTTTTTTTTTTTATTTTCCTATGCCTTTGTTAATTTGGGGATAGTATTTAATTTCTCCCCTCCAGTGTGGTCCCTGTCATTACCCAACAACATAGCAGCCATGACAGAAGAAATCTTGACATCTGCTACTCATGAGCTATATGAACTTGAAGTAGGCACCTAACCTTCTCTAAGCTTCTATCATGTTCTCTGAGAAATGACAATACTAATATTTTCTATGAATAGTGTGATAATTATTTGAAATAAAAATGTATTGAAAGATAAAAAAAAAGACTGGCCCTCAGTGTTAGTTAAATGACTGGGTAGATGGATGGATGATAGATAGATGGATGAATGATTGGGTGTTTAGTCTTGGTGAACAAATGAATAATTCTCAAGAATCTAAGTGCCAAAAAAAACCACCAAAACACAAAATGAGGATCAGGGAGGTAGAAAGCAAAAAATCATTAATAATGATAGCCTTAATATATGTTTATAATACCACACTGTATTTTATTATATCTGTCAACTACCTAAGCATTTATCAGCTGGTGGACACACTGAAACACTGTCTAAGTATTTTCCTGTCTACTTCCATATCTTACTCTTCCAGCTTTACATGTTCTTACTCTCTCCTTTGCCCCACTACCAGCAATACCGTGGTCCATCCAAGACACTTGAATGTGATAAGCTTAATTATAAAATAGTTCCTTATATTCAGACCTTGTCTTGAATTCATATGAGGAATGTCTTGTCCATAATCAGGTTACCTAGCCATGGTAAGGGAATATTGAAGATGTAACTAAAATCCATAGTCAATTGATGCTATGTTAATCAAAAAGGAAATTTTGCTGGCTGAGCAATCAGATAAATCTTCTACTGGAATCCTCAGAATCAGAGAGGTGTCCCTACAGGCCTTAGGGATACAATCTCCATGGATTCTAAAACAGTAAGAAATGAATCCTATCCACAACCACCTCAGCTGAGACCCCAGCCCTGATCACCAGACGATTGTGACTGTAGCTTTGTGAATGCCAACTCTTGACCAACAGAAACTATGGGATTATACATGCATATGGTCTTAAACCACTAACTGCATCGTTATTCTCTGCGCAGCATAGAAAACTGACAAACTACAAAATATTATTTTCATTTTGTGAAACAGTTCATATGCATCAAATCCATTATTCTGGACAACAACTTTACGAAGTGGGTATTATTTTCATGTTTAGAAGAAATGAACATGATTCAAAGAGAGAGATTTTGTGACCAACATGTACAACTTGTTACTGGTAGGGCTGACCTCTCTAAAACTAAAACCCTTACCAGTGTATTTAGTTTGCCTGTCTAGCTAAGATGTGTCCATTTGAAATAGAAATTTATCAAATTAACAGACCATTTATCAACCTGTTGTCATTTACTCCTGAGCTTTCTAGAAGGCAAAGTTGCAGGAAGCCACATGGAATTCTTGTTATATGATACATCCATTTTCAAGAATGAACTCAGTACTCCTTTTCTCCTAACCTAGACTGGCACGCCAGAAGTACCAGAAAGACTGATGATCCACCTGTCTGAGACCTTTCAAACCTAGTCCTTTGGTGTTACGTGTGAAACAATCAGCCTTGCTCAAGAGTGATAGTTGCAGTATTTAGCAGCTTTACACACATGAAATGCAATGGTAAGAGGACTAAGGTAGAAAATTCTTTGCCAGGTATGTACCCACTTTTATAGACAGAATGTTTAGTTTAAAAGAATGCTAATAAGAAAATTGCAGATGAAATAAGGATTGGTTCTCACTTGAATCTTCAGGAATGTTGAATTTTTCTTTGTCATCTTCTAAGAGTTCATTAACTCTAGGCAAGTCGATAAATGTTTTTGCAGTGCTAAGAAAAGATGCTTGATCCTTACAAATCATCTTCATCACAGATTGGAATGAACTGAAGACTGAACTTCTGGCTTGGTCATCTTTTGAAACCTGGGGAAAGAAAAAAAAAAATGAACTGTGATTAAGTCATTACCAAGAATATCTTCCTCACACATTTCTGTAAGCCAGTTCCTTTTTGATTGAATATACAAAATGTTAACATATAAAGATGTGGAATCTCTGCTTGTGTCCTTGAAATACTATTTAAACCTCTCTAATGCTTTGTTTTGGACTACATCTTAATAGAAATCTCACACAAATATCACACAAATCTTATGCACATGAATACAGACCAGAAAATTTTTGTTGATTTTTCTAGCAATACATTCCAACTCCATGAACTATCACTAATTCAGACTAATGAATGGTCTTACTATATATCTCTACTGCCAAATTGTCAAGATATTTGACAGCTATCCAAATTACCCAGCTGTTGAGCTTACTGCTGTCCTGCTTCTGCAGCAGCCCTGAAGACACTACTCTCCACCCCTTACCCCACAACCCCTCCTTGGGGTACTCCCACATAATACCTCTTCCAGTCAGCCCATCCCAGGAAGAGAGCCTTCAAGCAAAATCTAATTTCACAAACCAACCTCATTCAGCAAATGATCTACAATTTGTAAGCCAATTTTATGTAAGTAAAGTGTTAAGGTTTTTGAAAGCAATTTACTTTCTGAATTAAGCTAAACAGACCTTTGGAAGTACATTTGTGTTAATAATCAATATAGTGATGTCTTTCTTTATGAAAAGTGCAAACTACTCCAACCTCCATATGGATGGGAAGCTGGTCAACACAAGCTCTTTCATCTGACTTTGGGGATATACCATACTTTACGCCATTCTTTTGCACCCAGGGCCAATAAGAGGTATCCGATTTCACTATTTTGTTGTGTAATGTAAAATTTAGTGTTAAAAGAAAAATAAAACAAAAAAGAATGAATGCAAAGACAGCAAGTCTGAATATTCCCCTGGGGGCCAAGATCAAACACACACCTGTTGAAAGTCCTGCATCTCAAGCAAGGCAGGGATTTTAAGTGCCTGTAGAAATTGTGGAAGGCATTCAAGGACATGGCTGGCTTTGGTGAGCAGTTGACTGAGGCTGGAGATGAGATCCAATAGGGAGCTGAGCAAGCCACTGTCTTCGGAAGGTATTAGAGTCTCAAAAGAAAGTCACAATAGGAAATAAACAACACTGTATTTTTTTTATTTTCACTAGCACCTTTCAAATAGTGAAAACTTGATTGTTTGATTTTCTTCCCTCTAGAACTTCAGAGATGTCTTTGTTGTGCTATATTAAAAGTCCTCTTTATTTGAGCACATATGTCTCAGTTGTTTGGCACAGATAGTATTGTTAAATCTAAACCAAGAGTAGATGTGATTTATTGTTAAAAATCAAACCATTTTCAAAATATTTATCCAAAGTAGAAACTTAAGGAAATGTTTCAAAGAAAAGTTTTTTTAATAATTCACATTCACCTACTGCCTCTCTATATTCATTACCATGTTTACATCATTCCACCCTTTTGCTGACTCTGAATGTATGTTGATGCACATTTTGTGGATGAGCTAACTGAGACTCAGAGAGACTTCAGGTGGCTTCCTGACCCCTCACAGTGAGAAAGGCTGAGTGTCAGGAGCTAAGCCCAGATATTCAAAAAATATCAGTATCTTTTGACACCTATTTGTGCTGCCAGGGCTTGACCACTCTGATTTTTACTTATATTTTGCATATTCTTTATTCACAGATGACAATTCCATGAAAACAGGGTTTTTCCTTTATTTTATCCCCCTCTCTTGGTAATTTATGTTGCTACAGGGAATAGAGAAGCATCTGGCAATATTAGTTGTTCAGTAAGTATTGGATGAATGGACAAAGAAGCAAAGGCAGTCTCTTTCATCCAAAGTGAAAAATCATAGCAAATATCCTTCCACTTTAATGTATTCAGTGAATTTTCAGCTTCTAAGACATACAGCATGGCCCCATGTCACTACTTTTTCTTTCTCATTAGAGTTCCACAGCTATCCTTTGTTTGTTACTCCAGCTGACCTGCCATCCCAAGATTCACAGATGCACGCTACTAATAATGATATGGTTCCATCAGTAAGAGAGCTGAGAGAGTGTGGGGTGGGGGAGACCTGAGTAGTCTTTTGCCATTTGTTTGACTTGCCTTTCTATTAAAGTTGCACTTTAGAAGTGGCACGCAACAGTCCCAACTTATGGTGGGGAAGACTGGAATTTAGACACGACACTGATAGACAGATGAATGCACCCTATTAAAGTAGCAAACAGTGTTTTGCAATAAAAGCTTCACAAATTCACCATCTGTCAAATACAACAGAAGGTGTGTGGACTTGGGAGTGACCTGAGCTGTGCTGGAATGCTGGCTATCATTTTAGGCTACTCTACCACCTCTAAATAATATCAAGTATTAACAGCTCCCCTTGGAGTCATTCATATTAAAGGCTCCTGGTAGATAAGAATTTCTGTTATTAATGGTACCTTCGTTGTGTCTGGGAGAGGGAATCAAGACGATTATCTTACCCTCATGACCTTTATCAAAATAATGACTTGAACCATTAGAAATACTAATTTCAACCCAATATTTGTGTAGATAATAGAATGCTGACTCACTAATGGCTTTTTACCTATTTCCTAATGAACATATTGTAAAGTTGGAATGGGGGTCAAGATGAGCAAAAACAGACTAGCTGGTCTACACATTAGCCAGGAGTATTGATTCTACCAGACAGAGGTGGCCTGGCAAGTTAAGGAGACACCTTGCTAATGGTGCAAAATGTATGTTTTATGAAAAGTTAATATTTGTTCTAGGCTTATGTGTGTAATTCAATATGTGCATTGTATTCTTTGAGTACCAGAAAGAAGAGAAACCACAAAATAAATTTCTGTAGTGGCAAATGTACCCTTTCCTGAATTTTAAACTTGTTCTCCAGGGTTGGAGGGACTAAAGCCAACTTGGTGATTTTGTAACACCTGTGATATCTCAGTCTCTCTGAGATGTTATCAAATCCATACTTGGATAGAAACTTGGAAGAAGATCAGCTTGTATGGGTAAGAGGTGAAATATACAGAATTGTCAGATCCAGTATAATAAACAAGGAACTAAAAGATTCAGGGCCCAGGAAAAGTCTGGAAACTGGTTTTCAGCCTCATGGGACCAGGCCATCTATGCAGACTAACTTAGTCTTCCTCTGAGTACCTCTACTCGGTCTCTTCTTACAACTCTTACCCATATATATTATGACATTTAGACTTCTCCACCCTCCCCATTCTCATCTTACTATGTGTGGGTATTTGTGGTTACACACAAAAATTGGGCCTGCTCCTGTTACACTCCCTGCCCATTCATTTCCTTTGCTAGGACAGAAGTGGGCATGGCATATTACCCTCACAGGACAAAGGTCATGGGACCCAAGACATAACAGAGGACAGAGCAGGCCAGGAGGGTGACAACAGTCCTGGGCAGGGGAGAAGGCAACTGGGAGTGCGTGGCAGAGCACAACCTCACCAGTTACACTCTAGGAAGGAGGGCCTTATAGAAGAGGGCACTGGGCTTCAGTTGTGTTGTTTTTTTTTTTTTTTTCTGTTGGCACTTCTGCACTGAGCCTATAGACAACTACCACTGCTGTGTTGAATGCCCTGATATTCCCAATTCCAAGGACCCCTGAATCCCACCCTGGAGTCAGCCTGCAAGAGATACAGAGATTGTTGAGAGTGTGTGGTCCCTGCTGTAGCTTCCCTGGCATACCCTGCTTTATTGCACTTGCTTTATTTTACTTTTTTAAAATTTACTTTGTTTCACAGATACAAAAGCCTCCACCAGCTTAAAAAAAAATCTAGCTGAAGTTTCAGATGATAATTTTTAGCAATAAAGTATTTTTTAATTAAAGTAACTTTTTAGACAGTGTTATTCAACAATAATAGACTATATCATAGCAAACATGTTTATAGACAGTGTGAAAAATAAAACCTTGTAGTTCACTTTATTGAAAATGCTTGCTTTATTGTTGGTGCTCTGGAAGTGAACCCCAATATCTCTAAGATATGCCTGAATCCAACTACATAGGAAGCAGCCACTCTGCGATGTCACATTGCCCAAGTTGACCACCCCAGTTCTGGTCCCTCTTACTTCGTAAATGACATTCCTCAGGCTCAGGTTCCGAATCATCAACAATACCAGAGAGTACACTTTGGATGCAGGCAGACCACAGAGTTCCTTCACTGTAAACCAAGATTTTTCATCCTTAGGAAACTCTAGCAGAAGATGAAGAATGTCCCAATCGCATCTTCCAGACAAAGCTATGGTGAGAACACTTGAAAGAACCTGTTTCAAAATGTAAGGATTGGAAATGAATGTCTCTGGTGCCCACAGCCCAGGCAGAGCTCCCTCTGTGATACATACACGGAACCCAACCCCCATTCTAGTTCAGACATTCTGGCTGACAGTGTTCCTAAAATGGAACTCAATTCTCTGACTTTCAAGCCCTTCTTGAGGATCCACTCTTCTGATATGGTCTTAGCTTCTGCTTTAAGCTGATCATCTTCACGTTACACTGCTATCAGCATGAGGCTGCTTTTCCCCTCCTTTTCTATATTGAAAATCAGATTCAAGTCTGCCACAATTTCGGAAAGGAAAAAGAAAACGAATGCAGGAGAGAGACTGAAAATTTGTTTCAGTGTCTAGTATATTAATGTCACATATCACAATATAAGAGGATCTAAGGTGCATCTTCAACTAGACATGGTTTTTAAATGACAACTTTAGTGCTGTGCCTAATCATAAAGCAAAAAGAACAACACATGAATGAACTCCTTGTTTATATTTCTGATCTTTGAAATGCTGCAAATCTCAGGCCCACCAAATCTCTTTGTGAACAGAAACTCCTGTTCAGAAAAAAAAGACTCATTACATGCTTGCAAATGCAATAAAATTTCCCAAAAATCATTAAGTAAGAGAATGGTTAGTCAGGGAAGTCCAGAAAAACAGGTCCATTTTATGTGTACCGGTATATATTGATACATACTTACATACACACATATGTATGTGTGTATATGTGTGTGTATACATTTATGTAAAGAGACAGAGATAGAGAATAAGAGATTCATTTTAAGGACAAATACCAAATTTGCCGGCATGTCGGCAAGCAAGATACCTTGGAAGTTGTTGAAACCGCAACTCAAAGTCAAAGCCATCATGGGATTTTCCTGGTGGCTCAGAGGTTAAAGTCTCAGTGCTATCAAGTTAACCCACATGGCTCAGCAGACCCCTCCTGTCTCGTCCATTGCTCCCCTCAGCAGTATAAGCCTCCCTGTATAATTCACTGTCTCTGGTGAATCCTTTCAACAATTTCACCTTCTGGCCTACACCCCCAGTTCCTATGTACATTAATAAATAAAGTAAATCTTTAGAAAAAACAAAGCCATTGGAACCATAATTCCTTTTCCTCAGAGGACCTCAGTCTGATATCTTAAACTGTCAACTCTCTGGGTAAGGCCACCCACATTGGGGAGAGCAATGTTTTAGTTACTGTTTACTGATTTATATGTTAATCTCACTTAAAAAAAATAAAAACTTCACAGTGACATTTAAATTGGTATTTGATAAAATACCAAATATCTGGTAATCTTGGTCAAACCAAGTTGACATATAAAATTAATCAACACAAATGGCTAGGAGGGTCCTCCCTGGTGGCAAAACAGGTTCAAGTGCAGCACTACAAAGTTGGCCGCAGCTGCTTCAATGCAAGTAGATCCCTGGTCAGGGAGGTGACCCACATGGCCCAGGATACCTCTCCTGACTTATCCATTGCTCCCCCAGCAGTGTACTTCATCAGTCCGTTTGTTCTGCACCGCCCCCAACTCTGTCTCCTCTCACAGCGCCTGCACCACGGGCCTATACCCCAGTTCTATATGCATAAATATAAATATTTAAAAAAATAAAAAAGAACAATTAGCTAGGGTACTCTAAATATACCAAAGTATTAATTTTTTTTGTGAGAGAGCTGTTAAGTGTTTCATACCTAATAAATCTGCAGTCTCTTTTTCAATACAGAACTTACAGGTTACAAACACAATTAAGAAAAGATTCCCTTAACCCCATGCTTTTCATAATGTTGTTTGGAAGGGGAGAGTAGCTTCCTTTGAAGAAAGGTTTCATTCTTTTTTTTTTTTTTTCTACATAGAAAAATTACGGTGTAGGCCAGAGGTGTGGCGTAGGATGAGAGGGTTCACTAGAGACAGAGTGGGGAGCAGGACAGGCCAATGTATTGAAATACACTGCTGAGGGGAGCAGCAGATGAGACAAGAGAGGCCTGCTGATTTTGTGGGCCAGCTCCCTGGCTGGGGATGGAACTCTGACCCTGGTGGTGATCTCACTGAGCCTTAATTCTTAGGCCACCAGGGAGATGCTGGAGGAAGGGGTTTCACTTTTCACTTTAAGACAGTCTCTCATTGGTTAGTTCTATAAAATGGGCTTCTGTAGGAAATGTTCCTTGGAAAGGGAACCTGTGCAAAGTCATGGCTCCAGAAAAGCTACTCTGGGCTTTGCATAAGTATGACTACAATTAGCCAGTGAGGGTCCCCCTGTGTTTGCTATGGAGCCTTGTCAGGAGAGTTACCTAGTTATCCCCAGGTGGGTGAGAGCCAATTACTCTCTTAGAGTTTAAAGATTTACTTTATTCATTTATGCACACAAGAACTGGAGTATAGGCCACAGGTTTGGAGGGTGAGCAGAACAGAGACAGAGTGGTGAGCAGAATAGGTGTATTGACTAAAATACACTGCTGAGGGGAGCAGTGGGAGAGAAAATAGAGGTCTGCTGAGCCGTATGGATCAACGATCAACTCCATGGCCAGGGCTCAAGCACAGGCCTCAGAGGCTGGCAACAGTTTGATAGCACTGAAACTTTAACCCCTGTGCCACAAAAAAAAAAAAAAAAAAAAAAAAAAAAAAAAAAAAAAAAAAAAAATATTTGTATTAAAATTTGTATAAACCTATTTTAATTAAATAAGGAAGGTCTTGAATATATCATGTGAAAACTCAATAGTGAAATCATGCATACAAACCCCACACAGACTACTTCCAGTTTTTCTCTGTGGTTTTGCCAGCTTTATTCTTTCTTTTATTAAAGCCTTGCTAGGCCCATTGTTCCTTTTGAAAGGCACCCAGAGCAGGTGGAAGCAGATGGAGAATTAAAATAAAAGAAAAGAAATATGTTAACCCTAATGTTTTGTTGGATTTGAATACCCAATGTATTTCTTTTTCAAAATAAAGTAGTCATCTTTCCTCTTAGATTTTGCTTAGGCCGATATAATGAATCCTCAGAAAGATGATAGCAGGTTGTCTGTGCTTCTCCTGCATATCCATGTTAGCTTCAAATGTTGCAAGGACCACAAGCAGAGGATCCCACTACTACAAGTTCAGCATACACACACGATCCTGACAGGAGTATTGTTTTCAGAAGGAACTACTTACCAGGTATCTTTGAATACCTAACAACACTGCAAACAATGTTTAGAAATGGTTTTGCCCAGCTGAGAATTTTAGACTTAGAAATGCAGGGAATGATTGAAGGGCACTGTTGTTCTCAGCCTAACCATGACTGGAAGGACTCTGATAGTGTTGGAGGAGAACAGAATATCAGGGAGAGAGCAGCTATGCCATAGCCGAGTTTGCAGCAGCCAGGGGAGACAGGAGAGCTATCAGCTGGAGGTCTCACATGTGGCACAGGGGTGGGAGATCTCTGCAGACTTCCCCCAGCCCCACTGGGCTCAGGGCTGCTAACACAATAAAGAAACAGGTTCAAGAGTGAGGAGTTCTGGAGGCAAACAGAAAGGCAGTTTCAGCAGGAAACTGGAGGGAAGGAGCTAGGATGGGTCTAGAGTAAAGCCAGCCCCAGCTGCACCCTGATCTCGCTGTACTGTCACAGCCCATGAGTCAATGTCTGTTAGTTTAGTCTCTTCTCCTTGCTATGGAATAGTAATAAGACCTAAAAGATTCATGAAAAAGAAGCAAATGACAGCACTGAAAGGCACTCAAGATAGTGTATTTAAATGCCTAGTAGCTACGAGTCTCACTATTAGGAGCGGCCAGTAAAAACACTTTTTATACAAGATTTTGAAAAAAGATGACTCAGAAATATATTGATTGACCAAAATTAAATGTATGAAAAATGAAAAACAGTTAATTCCTCTTTGTTTCTCTATTCCTAAATAGAACGATTCTGTTTAGAGAGGAAAGCAACATCTGCATGTCTCTCTCCTGTCCTTCCCTCTCCTCCACTGAGTCCCCAGACTGGCCCCTGAAAGGTGATGAATAGCAGCTCCGCCACTAGGTGGGCACTAGTGCCAGGCTGGCATTGGCTCCTGAGGGAAGACAATCGCTCTTGTCTATGCCTCTCTGGCTCTATGTCCTGTCACGGTTCCAGAAAATATAATAAGTCTACTATTTATTCTTTTCAAGAATTTCTGGAGTAAATTTAAACTACCTTAGTTTTATTTGTTAAAGAAGTTTCTATAAATTACCAGCAGATAATGCTATTAATTCCTCTAAGATTCCTGATCATGGATTATATATGAGCTTTTGAAGAAAAGAGCAATTGCAAGAAACAGTGTTGATAAAGTCACCATAAATGAACCACTTAAGTTCAAAGTTATTGTCATTGAAAGGCTGGTCAGTAACCAGGACCTCAGTCAGATTTACTGAGGCTGACTTGAGAGCTCAAAGAAACCACTGCTGCTCTGTGGTGGTACCTTTCTAGGCCACCATCATCTTTCCGCAGTAATAACCTGAAGGAAAATAGGAAAGATATTGAAAAAGTTGATAGAGAAATGATACTTTGAAAAGTAGAGTCAGGATTAAGAATACATAAAATTTAGAATTATTGGCTCAAAGTATTAGCAGGCAGACTGAACAAGACCCCCCAAACATGCCTTTGTAAAGACAAAACATACTCATAGTCTGTAAGAACTTCATTAGAAAAGGATGAGTAATAGAAGATAATATAACCAAAATAATGTTCTCAAGGAAAATCCAGTTACCCACCCCCTTGTGGGTAAAATGTCCAGCTGAACAGAATTGGCCCAAAACAGAGCCCAAACTTGACCCTAGTCTAAGTCACCTTCTGTGAGACACAAAGGGAAAGTAATTAGGGAGTAGGCAAACATGGGAGCAAAAGAAAAAAATCAAAATAAAGATTGTCATTGTCAGCGTCCCCAGCAATCTCTCACCTATGTCTCTCCTTCTGTGTCCCCCAAATCCTGGAACAAGTCCAAGACTAAGAAGCAGGCACATATTCTTCACATGTCTCTTCCCTGGGCACCTCTT